TGTTAAACTATAGCCAATAACGAGTGTATCGATTTTTTTACGTTATATATAAGTGCGTGTGTATATTTTATATTATTTAAGCTATTGTTTATTATATTCGCACTTAAATACTGATGGGCTAAAATAAAATTCACACATGCTGATACTGTTGAGTAAAAAAAAACATTACATTTTTTACCAATTTATACGATATCATAAATTATCGACAAAATTAATGTTATTAAATTTGTTGAGTTCCCGATCGGTCAATAATTAATTGTTCGGATAATGGTACAGTGATAGAATAGGAGCAAGGACATTAGTTGTATATATTCAATATGTAGTATAAAGTTTTAGAGTAAGTATAACACACTGCTACCTAATTTAGAGTAAAAATATTATAATATTGTGACACAAGTTTCAAACAAAAAGAATAAGTGACGAAAATATTCAAAGTCGTAAGTATATTGTAGTCTTTAATTATTTGGTAAGGTGTTAATAGTGGAGGTTCTCATGAGAATCGGTGACAAAGTACATCTGMAAAAATTAATACTCTTACTGTTCTCGTGGGCTCTTCTACACGTGATACCATAGTTATATTCGCTTCCTGGATGGTTGAATTTGTCCTGTTCTTGATGCAGAATTAAATCTCATATTTTAATGCACAAATAGTATTTTCATTTACCACCATAATATGCATTTTTGTGGAATTAGATTACGTTATACTGTTATAGAAATAATAAATCCATAGCTCTCATTTATAGTGTATTATGTGTATGTCTGATGCTTATTGACTCAATATTTATATTGTTAACTCACCGAACATGGAACAAAAGTCCCTTTGGTGGATACGTGTAGGTATTGTATATACCTCACACGACTACAAATTAAACGTCAATGTTAGGTTTCTAATAAACGAGGTTCTAATTTATTAGTAAAGACCAATTTTCTACGCAGTTCAAGCCAATATTGGTTAATTTGATTTCACCTTGAAACACGCTGTACGATGAGACGGTGCAGCATGTATCTACTATCTGTACTACAGTGATTGCTACATAAACATAATAAACACGTCGAACGTTTCGTTTTCTCGTCATTTAAACRTAGGTATAAATTAATTACTTTAATGGCGTTTGGTTGCAATACAGGCGGTAATGAAAACGGAAGAAATGCATGTACATATATAGAATATATACGGTTTTTGTTTTTCATTTTCATTTACTATACAAACATAATTTAATTTTGACATCTAAATACAGAAAATATGAATTTAGGTCAGAAATGGACGAATAATATTCGTGAGGTAATAATTTATATTWGTTTGTCGACTGAAAACCAGCCAATACATTAATGCAATATGTAAAAAGTATATTATATTATATTAAAAATTCCAACTTATCAAGAAATTTATTATAATACTTATAATTTTAATTGGGAAATTGATAATTGTACAAAAAAAAATAAAAAAAATAAGATCAGGAATACAAATAGAGTAAAATAATCTTTCTTTTTCTCAAAAGTATTTATTGAGCTAATTAAATGATGAATTAAATAGCCTTTCTCGCGAAAAATTACTTGTTTTACTTTCCTTTAGTACCTATCTATTTTTATATTTATATATTTAATACTTAAAAAAAAAGTTTTGTATTACACCTACCCTCTACTTAAAATCTAATTATATTATATACGTATTTACATGAAATATGAATGAATATTAATTTTTAATATCTTTGAATATTAGTTAATATTACTCGACAATTACAAAATATTTTGAATGGTATTAAAATTAAAAAACAAAAAAAATTTCTTCAACAATTACTTATACAATGGAACATAGTATAGATTTTTCAGTATCCAAATAAGGAAAGCATTTCTTTATTTCTTTAAAAACTTTAAATATTTAAGCTTATAGAAATGTACGATTTTATACCTCATTAAATATAATAAATTATCTTCTTTGTGGATTCTATTAAAAAAGAATATAATTTAGATTAATATATTATAAGCATGTCGTGAATGTCAATTTTTACTTATATATATCATTATAGCCATTAGGATGGTTCTTATTATTATTCGTTTGTATTTTTAATTTCCCGCTCCCAGATACTTATCTTTCTGACAATGCTGTGGGGGTTGATACAATTTATCATTTGGCACCCCTTGAATAATGTACTAACAGTGCTTATTTTTATGAATGAGATTTGATGTAAGTACCTACATAATATTATTCATCAATACAAAGCTACAACTTATTATACCTACAATTTTTTTCCAAGCCATAACATGAGCCCTAAGATTATTTAATTATTATTATTTTTTTTTTTTTTATTGATAATAAGGCTTCAACAACAAGGTCATTAGCCTATGGTAGGTTTAGATTGTTATATACAATTAAGTTATGATTGGGAATTACATGATTATGGGTTAGTTGTTTTTACAGTTTTATATAATATTTACAATACACTTGTTAGTAGTGAAATTTTTTACAGTATTAGATTTTGATGTCGATGTCCTTAAGAGGACGCTACACCCGCATACGTTGTCTCCGTCTTACAAGTGCGTAACATAACAAATTTTATGCTCAGCAGATCACGTTTAGCTCCGTTAGTTTAAAATTTAGAGTAAATTGACCTCTTACAAAAATTAAAGGTAACATTATTATCGAGGGCATGACGTTCTGTTAATAATTCTTAATCCTAAATAATGCGTGTAGGAGCCTTTGGCATTGTATATTTCCACAAGAAATCTTTGAGTAATGTATGTGACTTTGACACTTTGCGCTCGTATCTTATCTGGTACGTAATTTCGAAAAGACGTACTTCACGCCGACGCGAAGTTGTCTGCATAACCGAAGGTGTTCAAGATTTATCATGATATAACAATATCATTATTTCACACTATTACGTCAATATTACATAAAATAATAAACGTGTTCGCCAATTCGCTATCGATGCGACGATGTAAACAAAATATTTCGGTTGTAGATCAATATGCATGGCCAAAATGTCGTAATAAACACAGACGCGAATACAAGAAAAAAACGCATAAATATGAAAATCATATAAATTATAAACATATATTATGTTAAAGAGCATATTTGCAGKTGGTAAATATGTGAACRCTTAGAAAATGACTACGAAGACCAGTTATTATAACAATATACAGACCTCTGTGGATAATAAGCGGTTGTCCACTGGCCGCGACTACAAGTATACCGTAAACAGGATCGCGGTTAAACCGTGGAGACTTAGAAGCTCGCATCACCCATCGGATTTCGTTTTCGACGATGTGTCAGAAGAACATTTTCCGTCCATCTGCGAATTCCCGACGAATTGGTAACCGTTTTTGTTTCGCTTTTTGCGAGCGATACAGCGATTGTAATATTATCATCTATACAGTGATATATTATATACAGTGTGACAAAATTCCGACGAGTCTTGAACGAGCTTATACTATATAAGATCCACCAACACATCGCTTTTATGTGGGTTGACGAGACGGGCGTTGTTTTTTTTCCCAAGGATTACGTGTCGGTTGGTACGTCAAGGTAGGATTCACATCAGTCATTTTTATTATTCACAAGTTCGTTGCGCAGGAAAACATCGACAGTTCCATACGCTTTTACGACGTTTATTAATAATTTAAATATAATAATATATTAATGTAAGTATGTTACCTTTGTATTAGGTATATATGTAATTTGTTCCGAATACTTGCCCGCTAACTCCGCGTGGGTTTGAAAAATCCTTGTAAAATCTCGACAAAACTGTTGTGCAACATAATATAATTACTATACCTATAAGTAAATYGTTGCGGTGCATTATCATCTCTTCGTATATTGTGCATGTTTAATATTGTACAACATAATAAWATCAATTGTTAACATAACAATGGAATACTATATCGATTTGCCTGCACGTTAGTTTATTTCATTATTGTTACAGTATAATTGGATTGGATTCGGCGAATTCAGTGGTATGAAAGCATGGAACACAAATTTGTTCAAATCTACAGCATGCTATAGACTTTAAGTAATATGTGATTTGATTCCGTGATCGAGATATTAAGTATATGAGAAGTATGAAATAGAGAGTTCTCCTGGCAATCCTTACGATCCTAACGATCCTTACAATCTCTACAATCCTTACAATCTTTACGATCATTACATTCTTTACGATCCTTACAATCTTTACGATCCTTACAATCTTATCACATCCACCGCCACCCGATCATACACGTACGCGATGTATACTTTCCCTCTCCCTGACCTCCCCGCCCGCCTCTCGATCACACACGTCCGTGATACTCCTCACCCTCACCACTTAAACCCGCCACCCGATCACACAAGTATGCGATGCATATTCACCTCCCTCCCTGACCTTCCCGCCCGATCATTACAGGACCGATACATATACATATTTTATTATATTTACCTCCACCACACCCACCACCGTTCAACATAATATATTTGATTTACTTATATTTTTATCATTTCAATTACACACGTCTTATCTTATAGTYTCTTAGATATTATTATACTTACAAACAACAATTTAGTGAATAACATATTAATAACTGATATAGATAATAAAATCTGTACCTTCCCAAGAAAATAATACTATACCTATACTAATACCTAAAAAAAATACTACCGTTTAATAAACGATTAAAAATACCTATTAGTGAATAACACATTAATAAACAATCTATACTATAAAATGTCTTAATCATTTACACGTTAGACTCTCAGATAGCTCAATATTGTATCTCCCACCCATTAATGGACCCATGCCCAGACACTTGGCTCTGCAAGAGCTGACATTCATTCAGTTTGTTCTCAGTCTTACACACTTGTAATATTCTCCTCTACGTTTCGACCAGTCTTATAAATTGTTCTGAGCTTATAGTTTTTTYAAGTCTTATAGTRTTGTTTAGTGTTTATTATTTTTCCAAGTCTTTTTAAGTGTTTTTATTATTTTTATTATCATTATTTTATTATTTTTAAAAACTTTTCTAAAAACATGGCTGGTTCAATCGCCGACAACGCTAGAATATACAAGAAGACCTTCACTTATGTACCACCTCCGGACGAGCTCATCGAATCCACTAACTACACACTTGACTTTGTGAGCCACAAATTTGTGCACGTCGGTATTGGCCCGGTTGAAAAATGTCAAGTGGTTATTCATTTGTTAACTTCTTCTTGTCACGTTAAAATAKCACCGAATTTTCTCAGACGTATATTTTCACTTATGAGAAACGTACTATATTTTATACTAGACATTCCAAAATCATATAAACGTACGATATTTCTGGAAACCGATTCTTATAAAATATCAACTATGGTTTATAGCGTTTCAAACGTTCTAGTAATCGAATCTAAAGATGTTGACAGATGTGTAGAGTATTATTAAATTGTTAAGATTTAATAAGACTTCAGGAATTAGAGTGGTGTAGGTATTACTGAGAATATTAAAGAAAAAGAAGTAAACATAAAACCAAAAATAATAAGAAAAATGAACGAATATTACGGGCGGGGAGGTCAGGAGGAGGGAAAATATACATCGCGTGCGTGTATGATCGGGTGGTGGTGGATGTGATAAGATTGTAAGGATTGTAATTAATAAATTTACAAATATGCTAATTATTTTCATTCATAAAAAATTGAATAATTTTAAAAATTATTTATTTGATTTTCCAATTATTGGTGTAAACACTTCAATAATGTACTGCCTTGAACCATTAGCATGCACTCGACACCGCCCAATAAATTGGTATAATTTGTCCTCCATCAAGTTTACACACACGTAGTACCTACAATCATCCGTTTCAATCGAATGCTTTCGGATAAATTCGGGCATCTGCTGTTTCCTGTAGTCGAATGCCAGAATACTTATTCGTGACTATACAGTATATACATTTTTC